AAAAATAAAGTACCACTACCTTTATTTTTCGTGGATCTGGAGCCATCACCCGGTATCGGAAAATATACGATATCACAAGATTATATTAAACAATGGTGAAAGTAGAGAAACCATACCCCAAGAGAGAAATAGTGCAGTGCCATAATTGTCAGGCATATGGCCACACTAAGACTTATTGTCACCATCTGCCGCGTTGGGTGAAATGCGGTGAACAGCACAGTGGAGTGCACAAAACCGATACAAGATCCTGCAGTGTGTGTACTATGCCTGGAGGGACACCCGGCCAACTACAAAGGATGCCAAATTTACAAGAATCTCAAATCCAGACACCAGAAAAACCGGATTCAAGATGAAGCAGGAAGACCAAGAAGAGAGAGAGAGCCTTCTAGAATAGTAAACAATGGTGTATCATTTTCCCAGCTACTTCAGGGTAAGAGCTCAACCGATAACTGCCAAGCCCTGCTGCAACAACAACCTCAATCCCAACCTCAAAATCCTATTGATCCGAATAAACCTAACCATCAACAACAAATTCATCATATCCCTCCTTCTTCAAATGCAACAGATCTCACCAGTTCGCTGGCATCTTTCCATACCGATTTTAAATCCTTAGTTACTCCACTCATATCACTCCTCACAAATCTCGTATCTCACCTCATCCCTCCTTTAGAAAATCCTTAATGACTCACATCCCAAAACCCATATCCATTCTCCTTTGGAATGCGAATGGTGTTAGAAATCACGTTGACAAACTGATAGCTTTATTACTGGACAAGAACATCGACGTGGCACTAATTATGGAGACACAACTGACCAGAAAACAGCATTTAAAAATACCTCAATACATAACATACCGTACTGACCATCCTGACGGTAAAGCACACGCCGGTACTGCTGTTATTGTACACCACTCACTTTCTCATCACCAGCTCCCATTACTGACACAAGATTTCCTACAATCAACCGCTATCGTAATTAAAACCTTCTCGTTTTCCGTCACCATAGCATCAGCATATTGCCCTCCTAACAGATCCATATCCAATATCCAGTTCAGTTCTCTTCTCAACTCCTTAGGACATCATTTCATCCTGGGTGGAGATTTAAACGTCAAACACCATCAATGGGGTTCTAGAACCACGAACTCTCTTGGGAGAACATTGTTATCTGCACTCAATTCCCAACGGTTCAGTATCCTTCCTTCTAACTCACCTACCTACTGGCCCACAGATCCTAACCGCAATGCCGATATCCTTGATTTTTTCATCCACAGTGGCTTAGGTCCCCTGAATCATTCCCTTACCCGTCATGCCGAACTGTCCTCAGATAGTCCATAGTCCATTATTACTCCAATTATCTCTATCTCCTATTACTAAGTCTTCTCCACCGTCCTTCATCAGAGGCCCAGTTAACTGGAAACTCTTTCACCAAATCCTTTCCGATAGAATTGACCTCAGAATAACCCTAAAAACCCCAGATAACCTTGATAATGCCGTACACCTTTTCACCACCACTATCCAACAAGCAATCTGGACTGCTTCCTCTCCAAACCACTCCTCAAGAACTCCCAAGAAAAATAAGTTACCTCAACACCTCATAGACCTAATCCATACCAAACGCCGTGCCAGATTATTATGGCAACGTACTAGACACCCCATTGATCGTCGCTCCTATAATTATTATAGTAAACAATTAAAAGCAGGAATTGGCCACCTTCAAATCCCAATCCTTCAACTCCTACCTTACTTTCCTTTCTGTTCATAACAATTCCCTATGGAAGATCACCAAAAAAATCCTAAAATCCCATCATATTTCCCATCCCCTCCGTCAAAGCGATGGCTCCTGGGCAGCGTCTGATGAAGATAAAGCTGAGGAATTCGCAAGACACCTCTCCAGAACATTTACCTCTCATCCGGAATCCAACCTCACCCATACCACAACAGTAGAAGAATTCCTTACATCACCCATTCCACTTTCCTTGCCCCCTAAAGCAGTTAATCCTTCTGAGGTCAAACATCACTTACAAAAACTTCCTCTCTGTAAATCTCCTGGATACGACCTCCTTACCTCTCAAATCCTTCGACAACTTCCTCCTAAAGCTGTTATATTTCTCACCTACTTATATAATACTATCCTAAGAACCACCCACTTTCCTCTTTTGTGGAAACATTCCACTATTATCCTGTTTCTGAAACCAGGCAAACCTCCCCACACCTCAACGTCCTACAGACCAATTAGCCTACTTCCGATTCTCTCAAAAATCTTTGAAAAGATCCTCCTGAAACGAATCCTACCCTTTATAGAATCCCAAAATTTTCCTTCCTATCAGTTCGGATTTCATTCACAACACTCCACAGTCCAACAAGGACTCCGAGTGGTCGATCATATTTCCGCAGCATTGGAAACTAAGCAATATTGCTCAGGTGCATTTCTGGACATAGCTCAAGCTTTTGACCGGGTATGGCATGCCGGGCTTCTTTCCAAGCTGAAAACCCATCTTCCTCAGTCCTTATACCTTGTCCTCCGTTCCTACCTCTCAGATCATACCTTCCGAGTTCGCTGAGGTAGTGAATTATCGAATTACTATCCAATTGAGGCAGGTGGTCCTCAAGGTAGCGTATTGGGTCCCATCTTTTACATCGTCTTTACCGCCGATATCCCTGTCCATCTCGATACCTTCCTAGCAACTTTATTTATTGTACATAGAGTGTGAATGTGATCTGTGAACTCTATTATAAATGTCCTAGAGACAGATTGTAATATTTTTCAATAAAAAAAAAAAAAAATTTTCAATACCCTATAAATTTATTATATATGCAACTTTATTAAGTTGCAGAAGCCTATAATAAAATTATTATTATTACATCAAACAGTGAAGTTATAAATGTTACGGTTACCTACACAGTGCCAACCGGTATTGCAAATAATGTCTCTGCCTTAAATTCCTTAATGAAATATGAAATGAATTTGGAAGGAAATCAATAGCATTTATCTAGCTGCCATATTACATAACAATTATTTAATGAATTCATCCAGAGAACTTTTTGTAATTAACTTTTTTTATTGAAAAATAATACAATCTGTCTCATCTAAGGAGAATAAGTATTACGGTGGAGCAATTATATTTATGTTATTTTTATATATTCTTCACTGTCGCCCTGGGAGAGGGGGAAGGAAGGGCTATTAGGTTAGGTGTTAGGAATTTTAAAAAATTTACAAGGTGTATGAGAATAATTAATTTTAGTCTATAAATAGATCAACTAAAGCAGAGACATATTGAATTAAATAAAATTGAAATATTACTTAATATATAACAACTTAAGGAATAAATATATTTTTTTGGGGATGAGATGATGCCAAAGGTCTAAAGCCGTCACTGTATTCATTTATCTCTTTGTAACTGTTAACCTTTTGTTTTTCTTTGTGTTAACCTGTATTTTGGCTGTCATGGAAACATATGTGCTGATTCATTAATCTTCTGTTTTAATATTATTATTTTTCACTGAGTTAAAAGTGATATATTGTTTAAATTAAATAGTTTTAAAAAATATCCTTCTACACTGGTGAAACAAATTAACAAGGCTAACTCATTTAAAAAAGAAATTATTGTATCTATGTCAGTCTTTTCTTTTTTTTTTTTTTTTTTTTTTTTTTTTTTTTTTTTTTTTTTTTTTTTTTGGAAGCCTGATGCTACAATTTGGTTTATTCAATTACAGGCACTGTTTAGTAAGGCATGAATGATATTTAACCTAAAAATGTACGATACAGTCATAAGTTCTATTCATTTAGAAAGTTTATCACAAATTTGTGACATTTTATACAATCCACTTTCTAGTAATTTATACATGGCTGATGAATAATTTTGCTGAAACTGAAACTAAAAAATTACGACAAAGACTCTGGTGACAATAACCTTCAACTATTAAGTCAGATGAAATCTCTTACTCAAAATAAAGTTAAGTGTATGATAAGATACAATATTAAGCTTGTCAAATGGATTATGACAGCTACACCATCTACTGTTTGTCGTGTTTGGAGCTATTGCTCGATCTATGGCCATTAAAGAAGAACCGATATGATCTTGAGTCCTCCCTAGGGACCTAGAACAGGGTTATAAAAATGCAGCTGAATAGGAAAAATGTTCTCCATGAGACAACTGCAGAAAAATATAATAGACCAGCATCAAGAAATGGCCCAGGAAAAGGCAGCTGAGGTACCATCACAAAATACTGACCCAGATGCACCATAAACTTTAACAGTAGTTCCTCGATAGGAAACTCAAGATTTCTTCACCTTCATCTACATCTACCTCATCACTCAGCCAGCATCTACCTGATCAATCTACTAAGTACCACTTCCATTAAATTCTAATTCTAACAAGTAACAGTTATGTGAATAATTTGGCAACCTCCTCAACATCACTTATATGTCTCTTTTATTTTATATTTCATTTTTCTTTGATAACATTTTTCTATATGTTAACTTTATTTTGATTTATTTTATAGATTCATTATTAACACCTCTTCTGATTTTTCGATTAAGTATCACAGAAAAAAATTTGGTTAAAATCGGTGACCCATAGACTGTAGAATCCCCTTGTTAGTTTAATATTTATCTTTATCACTTTAGTGTGTCTAAATTAATATTGATATTTGTATATCTATATCATTTGTGTGTGTCTGTCAATTATTCCTTTAATATCATCCAATGTGTTTGTATTTGGTTAATATAATATGTTTCAATATCACAATTCATACTTTACTTGTTGTTTAAATTACAAACAAATTTGATATTTTAGATATTGCTATGAAATATTTGAATAACTTTTTTGTTACTTACATTATAAATTAATTACTACAATGATTTGTCAATTTTTTTTCTCGCCTTGACTAACCTACTGATTTGTCAACGTAATATGTATTTACATTTAGTGGTTATATCTAATTTGTCATATCAGATTGTATTGTGTTTTTCATTTTATTTTGTTTTGTTTCAAATTTTAGATTGTTTGGTTAACAGATTGGAAGTATCGTTATTATATGGATCCAGCTCTTAGTATATTAATGGTTATAATAATTCTACATTCACTGTGGCCATTGTTAAGAGATTCTTCATTGATATTGCTTCAGACAGTTCCAACCCATATAGAAGTGGATATGATTAAAAAAAAACTTTTAGATAAAGTTGAGGGAGTTTTAGCAGTACATGAATTTCATATATGGCAATTGGCTGGTGATAGAATCATTGCTTCAGCACACATAAGGTAATGTTATTATAATTTTTTAATGTTAATTAATTTTAGGTTTTATGGCTTAGGTAGGTTTTTAATTTTATGCATAAATGTTATTAACTGTTGTTTTAATATTAATAGGTTTCTTTAAGTGATTATAAATATACTTAATACTTATGTATATTTAAATTTATATTCTCTAAGTCTGTGTAGTGTCTTTTAAAAGTACTTAAAACTTTTTATCTTATACTACAAATATTTCTAGAACAGAAAATGAACAATTGACAAAACCAGTTACTCCACCTTTTTTTGTGAAAATTAATGCTTCATTTGAAGTAAGTGGTATAACTCAAATTATTGCCTATTACTAGCTCATTACTTTTTCCCACCCTACTGGCTGCAGAATTTGAATTTCATGTCGAAAAAAAAATACTTGTCTTCTATGGCTATCTAAGAATCTACTCATCAAAATCATTTTTGAAGTGCCAAAATCAGTCTCTACACGTTGTTTCCGACAGAGCATGCTAACCATAACTCTTAACAACAAAGCTATGAGCTTCAGCTGTATATTTATTTTGAATAAAATGGTGCAATGAAATTCCCCGCAAATGCTTTTTGCTTGGCACAAAGTTCAACAATTTTAGAACTTCTAAAAAAGAAGGCGTATAGCACTGCGACCATAAGGATCTATTGTGCGCCATATTACAAGTCCGTTTTATGCTAAACCATCAATTTTGTCGCTTCTGCGTATTTTAGTAAGCTTATAGGGTTGATTGACTCATAGCTTCTGGAATCATCAACTCGGTCCTCCCCAAACAGCTCGAGTCTAAGTGTTAACGCCACAGCATTAATTTATTTTATTTTTACATTTAACAATAGTTTAATTAATTATTGATTTGATTTATTTCATCAAAATGAAATCAATTAATAATTATTTATGTATAATATATGTATATTTATGTATAATATATGTACATTTATGTATATTATATGTGTATATTAAGTATTATGAGTACCAAATGTCATGGCCGCAATTACAGTCGTATGCTTGCATCGCTCTGTCGTTGTTTCCTTTTCATCAGGTTAATGCTTCAATTTCTGCTGCTATACAGTGTGAATAGTGTGCTTTTGTACATTTGAACATTTCCACATTAAAATATTGAGGTGAGAGACATTTATTAAAATTATGTTGACTATTTAATTGATATACGTTCGGTAGAAACAGCTCAGCTGGCCGATAATTCCCTTTGCGGGTCTTATCTTATCAAGATAGATTCACGGTCAACGCCTGGTACCAACATACCTTCCTTCGAGTGATATCGAGTTCGTATTTAAGAACTTTTTTTTTTTTCAATTATTTTTATTTGAGACTTTTAGTTTTATTTATTTATGTACATTGAGAAATGTTTTATTTTACCTGTAAATATTTTTGTAAATAGCTTAGTTTTAAGAATTAATTTCTTTTATTTCCATTTTAATTCCATTATAACTTTTATAGCCTTTTAATTATTTTGTTATCATGGATCTTGTTAATACGTCGGGTGATGAATCAGAGGAAGAGACACCATTTTCCGAAATAAGCGAGACAGATTCACAATATTTAAAAAGAAGAACACTCCAAAAGCGCAATAGAAATTCTGCCCCTGGATCGGCGGGTAACTCAACTACTAAGAAAAAAAATAAAGCTACCAAATCAAAAAAAATATCTGAAAATAGCAAATCTACACAAAACACCCGCAGTAAAACCACTGCAGCCAACAAATTAGAAACAGTTCCACCATCCACCTCAATCAGTAATTCTGTTACTACCAATATTTCATCAAATAAAACTCAGGAGCCAAAAACATTTTCGGATCCAGAACCACCACCTATTTTTGTTTCAAAAATTGAAAATTTTATGTCCTTCGGGCAAGAAATTGCTGACCTGATAGGACAGCCTAATTTTCGATGTTACTCAAGAGTTAATGATATAAAAATTAACACTAACTTTAAAGAAAACTATAAAAAACTCATCGAGCATTTTACATCAAGAAAATACCAATTCCACTGCTATCAACTCAGACAGGAAAAAGCGTATAGAGTAATCTTGAGAAGTCTGCATTCAAGTACCACCACAAACGCTTCAAATCGGATTGGAAGAAATAGGCCACAGTGTCAGAAATATTTCACCCATATTACATCCTAGGGAAAAATATCCATTACCACTATTTTTCGTGGATCTGGAACCAGCAAAAAACAATTCCGAAATATTTCAGGTAACGAGATTAGTATACTCAACAGTCCGTTTTGAGGAACCTAGACAGAAGCCCATAGTAGTGCAGTGCACAAACTGTCAAAATCTGGGACATACCAAAGCCTACTGCTTTCACGAGGCCAGATGTGTGAAATGTGCAGGTTCACACGCATCAGACACTTGTCAGAAACCAAGGCACGAACCTGCGATATGTGCTCTTTGTGGTGAAGCCCACCCTGCGAGCTATAGAGGTTGTGAGGTTTATAAAAGTCTTCACAAGCAAAGATCCCATAATATAGCAGTAAGAAGCCAGAACCTTGTTCAGAAAAGTAACACAGAACCGCCTGAAATTGAAAATCTGGATGTTTTCCCAGTACTGCCGACAACACCGCAAATCGTCCAACAACGGCCATCGACCACTGTATCAACGGACCTTCCTCAACAAGAATCCACCAAGCAACACTCCCAAACCACTATCATCAAGCAGCAACCTCGACGTCAGGCGCCTCAGACCTTCAAATCCAAACCTAAAATCACTAATCCTCAGCATCAACCTCCACGTCAACAAATCCCCCCTCATTATCTTCCCCTAACGGTCAAACTTCCGCCGGAGCATCCGCATCCAGCACAATCCCATCCTAATCTCCAGATGAACCCCCCATCATATGTACCTCAGAAATTTCAACCAACTCCTCGTACCCAACAACGGACCCAACCCCCTACCAATAACCCTAATCGCACAAATTACCAACCACATCCTCCTCCTGATCCGAATCCACAGATCCTTCAAAGCCAAACATCATCCAAATTATCTAAACTCAATTCTATCCTATCAGCATTCCTGATAGACCTTCAACAGACTATCAAACCACTCATAACCCTTCTAACCAGATTCCTTTCCGAAATCCCGTTCAATTTTCCTCGATGAACCAAAAGCCCCTAGCTATTCTCTTATGGAACGCTAATGGACTACAAAACCACCGTGACGAACTAGACATATTTCTTCATGACAATTACATTGACATTGCCCTCCTGACGGAAACTCATTTCACACAACGATCAAACTTTTACATAACTGACTACATCACTTACAGATCAGACCATCCAGATAACACTTCCCACGCAGGCTCTTGCATCCTTATCCATAAATTCTTATCTCATTCCCTAATCCCTTCCACCCCAACTGACGCCATTCAATCAACCTCGGTAATCCTATCAACTCGCCCTTTCCATCTTACATTATCAGCTGTATACTGTCCTCCTGGAAATTCCCTTTCTCATGGCCTTCTTGATTCCTTATTCCAATCACTCGGATCACGCTTTATTGCTGGAGGAGATTACAATGCTAAACACCAACGATGGGGTTGTCGAACATCCAATTCCCGTGGTAATATCCTATCTCATGTCTCATCTTCTAATAGTTATTCTATCCTCTCGCTCATGAATCCAACATATTGGCCAACATCCCTTACAAAATGTCCTGATATCCTAGATATATTTATCACTTCTCTGATTTCCTCTTCCCTGACCACAATAAAATCCCTGGATGACCTTTCATCAGATCATAGTCCAGTTCTGCTATTATTACATTCAAATCTCGTTCCTAAACCCTCACATCCGAAATTGATTACAGGACAAGTAGACTGGGACAAGTTTCGTTACGATTTGGAAAATAAACTGGACTTTAAAATTCCGCTTAAGACAAAACAAGACATTGACAAATCCATAGAAAAACTCACTACATCAATAGCTATTAGTATAAATGATAACACTTCCATCAATAAAAGCAATAACTCACGATATAGTAACTTGCCATTAAATATTCGAATCTTATTAAGAGAAAAACGCAGATCAAGATCGAAATGGCATAGGACTAGATATCCTTCAGATAAAACTTACTATAACGAATTGACTAACAAACTAAAAATAGAAATTAGAAAATTTAAAACACAAAAATTACTTAACCTAACTGATAATCTTACAACTACTGACAAATCTCTATGGACGACCACAAAAAAGATACTAAAGTTTAAAGACTTTAACCATCCACTATTAACTGAATCCCAAACCTGGTCCAAATCCGATGAAGAAAAATCTCAACTATTCGGTCAATACCTCTTCCAAACCTTTAATCCACATCCTGATATCCTTAATCCACATCAAATTGAATATATTGAAGCAGAACTGGATATTCCACTCCAAATGACTCTTCCACCTAAAGCATTTCGTCCTTCGGAAATATCTAATATCATCAACAGATTACCTTCCCGAAAAGCTCCTGGACACGACCTTATCACTTCCCATATCCTAAAACTTCTTCCTCGGAAAGCCATCCTATTCCTCACTTACATATACAATGCTGTGCTCCAATCCACATATTTCCCTGATTCTTGGAAAATATCTATTGTCAAAATGTTACACAAACGTAAAAAACCACCCGAACACCCATCCTCTTACCGTCCTATTTCTTTATTACCTATCATGGGCAAAATCCTGGAAAAACTCATCCTAAAACGCCTGTATCCCATCCTAGACTCTAATCATATTATCCCTGATCACCAATTTGGATTCTGCACATCGCATTCCACTATCCAACAATGTCACCGTGTGGTTGATGTAGTCTCCTCTGCATTGGAGCGCGGTATGTACTGCACGGGAGTCTTTCTCGACGTTGAACAGGCGTTTGATCGAGTCTGGCACCCGGGTCTTCTGTACAAACTCCGAAAAGTCCTACCCCCTACATACTTCCTCATTATCCGCTCCTATCTTACTGATAGATACTTCAAAGTAAACCAAAATA